CGACACCACAGACTATATATATATATGTGTGAGCGCCACTCTCTGAAGGCCAGACAAATCCGCTCACCTCCGTCTGCACCATGAGCACCCTCTCCTTGCGTAGCTTGTAGACGATGCTGAAGATGTCCACCTCGTCCTTCTCCCGGATCAGCTGCAGCAGGTGGTCAAGGACGATGAAAGTCCCTGACCGGCCCACGCCGGCGCTGAAACACACACAGACAGACACACGCATAAACACACACACACATATATATATATATACACACACAAACACGATGAAGGTCCCTGACCGGCCCACGCCTGCACTGAAACACACACACAGACACACGCATAAACACACACACACATATATACAGACACACACATAAACACGATGAAAGTCCCCGACCAGCCCACGCCCGCGCTGAAACACACATAAACACAAGCACAAACAAACACATAAACACACATTCTGACAAGAACATAAAAATACACACCAACACTCACATAATGAAGGATCTTGATCGGCCCACGCCAGTGCTGAAACGCACACACACCAACACACACACAAACATGGACAGAACCACACACACTAATACTAATACAAACATAAATACATACACACCAATATGGACAAAAACAAACACACCAAAAGACTAATATGCACTTAAACACACATAAACATAGCCGTGCCTGCACTGGAACACACACATGAACACACGTGTGGGGGAGAGACGGTGGTGTTTTTGTGTTTTAGTGAGTGTTTTACAGCATTGGCAATAAGGTCAATAAGGTCATATAAGTGCCGAAGATTAGAGGTGTTACAAGGGAGTAACATACACGAAAAAAAAAGAAGGGGGGGAGATAAAGACGAATAGATGTTTGATAGGAAAGAAGGAGCAAACCACACCAGAACACCCGCCAACCACCCACAGCAACAGATGTGCATTATATCGAGGACTTGAGACGTTGACATACCTGCAGTGGGTGACGATGGGTCCCCCCTCTCGGATCAGCTTCTCCCTCACGGTTCGCACAAATCGGATCAACGAGGTCGGGTCTTTGGGCACGCCGAAGTCTGGCCACACGCGGTAGTGGAAGTGTCGCACTGTGCGGGACACCTCGCCCTGCGGCCAGTCGGGGAGGAGAGATGGGGCAATAGAAAATAGGGAAATACGTTTAGAGTGAGGATTAGAGGTTGTGGGGAGTTGGGGGGGGGGGGGGGGTATTGTATTGGAATACCTGAGGAAATATTTCAGTTTTAGTAAGAGTTTTAAGGCAATTGCAATACAGTTAGATCATAAACGTGATGAAGCTTAGAAGTGTTTCTAGAGAATAAAGAATAACATACACACACAAAAAAAAGAAGTAGGAGAGATAAGCAAGACAAATGTTTAATAGGAGTAGAGGAGCGAACCACATGAGAGCACCCGCCAACCACTCACATTTTGAGAAAAGAAAAGCCCATTGGTACAAAAATGCACATAATTTTGCGCTGGGAAAACTCCAACATTGCCAACCATAAGAGATCTTATTGAGCCAGGACAACTCACCAGAGCGACCTTGAACTCTGTCACCGTCCAGTCGGGCATGTGGGTCTCGTTGAGGATGCCCACCTGGAGGTCACCGTAGAACTTGGGCTCGGGGTCACTCGGCCAGTAGTGGTCACTCTTCTCCTGGAGAAAGCGAAACAGTTCTATTGACAACTTGTGATGGGAGAAAATACAACAGTTCTATTGACAACTTCAGATGTGTGAAAATACAACAGTTCTATTGACAACTTGTGATAGGAGAAAATACAACAGTTCTATTGACAACTTCAGATGTGTGAAAATACAACAGTTCTATTGACAACTTCAGATGTGTGAAAATACAACAGTTCTATTGATAACTTGTGATAGGAGAAAATACAACAGTTCTATTGACAACTTGTGATGGGAGAAAATACAACAGTTCTATTGACAACTTGTGATAGGAGAAAATACAACAGTTCTATTTACAACTTGTGATGGGAGAAAATACAACATTTATATTTACAACTTGTGATGGGAGAAAATACAACATTTATATTTACAACTTGAGATGGGACACAATACAACAGTTCTATTTACAGCTTGTGATAGGAGAAAATACAACAGTTCTATTTACAGCTTGTGATAGGAGAAAATACAATAGTTCTATTGACAACTTGTGATAGGAGAAAATACAACATTTATATTGACAACTTGTGATAGGAGAAAATACAACATTTATATTTACATCTTAGGGAAGAAGAGAAAATAAATGTTGAATTTTGCGCGGATGGCGACCCCAAGGACCTACTTTTTAAACATTTCAGACTCTGCAAAGGGATCTTAAATGTGCAAAACTTCCTCATGGGACCTTCGAAATTTTTCGTCCTTTTTTGAGAAGACTAGGTGGGTGTTTGATCCTACCTACCCTAGGACCAGGGGGTATAAAAAACATGACCAAAAAAATCCAGAAGCTAATTGAGGTCAAACTCCAGACCTCTGGGCTGATGGGTGGCAAGTGAACAACATATCTGTTGCCAACCTGGGCTGAAAGAGGTACAACATCCCAGCAGAAAGACCAAGGCCCTCGATGAAAATTCTCCCCAGTTAGGATTCGAACTCATGTCTCCTGCACGTGACAGTGAAACACCTAACTGTTACACCACAGACTCCGGTATATTCTTTGTCTTGAGCAGAGAGTGCTCGGGGAGTATTGAACCTGGAATCAAGCACGTGGCAAAGATAGTACATAACAAGATGGGCCACTCAGCCAAAAAAGTGTCCGCAGGAAGTTCGCTCTTTGCTTCAGATGGCGCTGCAGTCTGTTTTGAAGCTCTCTTTCGTTTTTCCAGAAGAAGAATAGGAATAGCACCTCCTTGCGTGCGCAGATCGACTGCTGTTCATCAGCAGTTCGGGTACGTTCAGTGCGGAGTTTTAGTTTTTAAAAATTTTAATGACCTCTCGCCTTTCATTCTAAAGTCAAATTAAACGAAGAAAACAATCACACTTTCCTTCGGAAGAGGTTTTTTGTCAACGTAACCATTTTAAAAAAGCGTTCTTCCGAAATTCATTCAAAAACTTGCTAGTTTCACTTTGATTTTTGAAACTCAAGTAGGGTAACTCTGTTCGCAAAGGGTGCGCATTTGTGAAGAGGGCGCCACCGAAATTTGAGGACACTTTTTTAATTGGCTCAAAGAGAGAAGTGGCCCATCTTGTTATTTACTATCTTTGCTAGCGGTAAAATATTGAGTACCGTTCACCAATGTTATCAGGTTTGACAACTTTTTCTAAACCCAATCCCGAACACCAAATGTTATATCATTAGATTGTGTAATGTAAAAAATATGGTGTAGGAGAAGTTTATGCGAAAAGGCTACACATTGTCATCTCAAATTTTTCTTCATCCTTATTTCAATAAAACGTCAATGTGATCAGTAGCCACAGAGACTGTCTTTTAGCGTATGTGTTCTTAGTCATATTATGGGTGTATTTTTGTATTTTAAAGAATTATTGTACGTAGAATGGGCCTGTATACAGGAAACGTTGATTTAATTCTGATTTTATTGAGCACCGGGAAGTGGGTGTTATGGAAGTGATCTGTAGTATTGTTATTATTATTATGATGATTAATTCCTGATTGCCCAATCTAGGACAGTCTCGGGAAATTCAAAACAGTTGGCAAGCCTGTATCACTGACCCGTCCCTTCTCCTGGCACTTGGTCAGCATGACCACGTTGCGTGTGCTCTGCTCCCACACCATACGCCAGAAGTCGTCGCGGGTGGCTGGCAGGGGGCCCTGCGTGGCGATGTACTCGCGCTTGGAGTTGTAACCCTGGGGAGGACGTGGTTGTAGTTAGAACTCGTTACAGGAGAACACACAATAGTTATGTCTAGAATTTGTTACAGGACAAAATATAATAGTTTTATTCAGAACTTCTTACTGAATAAAGCACAATAGTTCTATTCAGAACTTCTTACTGAATAAAGCACAATAGTTCTATTCATTCAACTTTTAAAAAAGTTTTAGTGCTTTTTTAATGATGCTTGCAATATAAATGGGCCAAATAAGGGCCAAAGATTAGAGGTGCTTGTTTGAGTAAAAAGAAGCACATGGACACATTTAGTGCTGGGGAAAAGTAAGACACACAGACAGACAGACACACAGACAGAAACAACAGATGGAAAGTAGAGAAGTAGGACCTACCAGTGGCGCCCTCATGCATCTCGCAATTAGAGGTGTTTCTAGAGAGTAACATACAAAGAAAAGGAGCAGAAGTAAGGATGATCAGTGCGAGGAAAAAGAAGACATGCAGATAGGATCGACAGAGTAGAGAAAGAAAAGCTCTTACCCCCTCCTCTCCCCCCCCCCCCCACCCCACCCCACCCACACATCTGGAGCCTTGCTGACTGGCGTGGGCGATCATGGACCTCTACTTCACTCTGTCTTGCGTTGCAGCGATGGAGTCTTTTGTTCTCGCTGCTCCTAGCCATCTTGTCATCTTGTCCAGTATCTTTCCCCTCTGTCTGCCTCTGCCTCTCTTTCCATCAAACTTGCCTGTTGTTACAATGTTCTCCAATGCTTCTTTCCGCATTCCCACCCAAACCCCCAAAAAACCCTGCCACACTCACGGGCATATAATTAGCGTTGATATAGTCGGAGCCCTCCTCGTCGTCCGTGGGCAGCAGTTTGACCCGCGAGTGGTCGTAGGGCAGGATGTTTGTGAACCGGTTCTTGGGGCGGTTCGGTGGGAACTCTGCAGCCAGGCATGGCTGGTCGCGACCTACTTCCTTCAGGTCCTGGGAAAAGACAGTTTAGTTTTAGAAAGAGTTTTACAGCACTTGCAACACAAATAGGTCATATAAGTGCTGAAAATTAGAGGTGTTACAAGAGAGTAACAAACACAGAAAAGAAGGAGGAGAGATAAGGACGATAGATGTATGCTGAGAAAAAAGGAGCAAACCACACTAAAGCACCTGCCAAGCACCCAAAGACAGACATGGATATACAGTCTAGTTTTAGTGCGAGTTTTACAGCATTTGCAACACAAATGGGTCATATAAGTGCTGAAAATTAGAGGTGTTACAAGACTGTAGCCAACAAAGAAAAGAAAGTTGGAGAGATAAGGACAATAGATGTTTGATGGGAAAGGAGGAGCAAAACACACCAGAGCATCCATCAACCACCCACATGGAGAGAGAGAGAGAGAGAGAGAGAGTGAGAGAGAGAGAGAGAGAGAGAGAGAGAGAGGCAGAGACAGCGAGAGGGAGAGAGAGAGAGAGAGAGAGAGAGTGAGAGAGAGAGAGAGAGAGAGAGAGAGGCAGAGACAGCGAGAGGGAGAGAGAGAGAGAGAGAGAGAGAGAGTGAGAGAGAGAGAGAGTGAGAGAGAGAGAGAGTGAGAGAGAGAGAGAGAGAGAGAGAGAGTGAGAGAGAGAGAGAGTGAGACAGAGAGAGAGAGAGAGAGAGAGAGAGAGTGAGACAGAGAGAGAGAGAGGCAGAGACAGCGAGAGGGAGAGAGAGAGAGAGAGAGAGAGAGAGAGAGAGAGAGGCAGAGACAGCGAGAGGGAGAGAGAGAGAGAGAGGCAGAGACAGCGAGAGGGAGAGAGAGAGAGAGAGAGAGAGAGAGAGACAGAGAGAGAGAGAGAGAGAGAGAGAGAGAATCACCATCTGTTTAAATAAAATGTCAGGTGTATTCTTGTAAAACCCAGCTAAGCTCTCTTAGTTACTGTGTATCATCGCGAATAGGACGCAACTTTTTCCCATTGACACTGTAGTCATTTAGTGCACACAAAAAAAGCAAGATAAATAAACCAAAAATACAAGGGGGAAAGAAAAGACACAGAACTTCACAGTGGCACCCTCCCATAAAGACCGTAATATAATGTAGGAAAAAAGCAAAACAGAAACAACATAGGGAAAGAGAACTCATCTTGTAGGACCTCCCAGTAGCACCCTCCAACCGCCCACTCACCTCATACTCCTCGGCGTACTTGAAGTCTGAGTCAGCCGTCATCTTCCGCACGTGTGACGGGAAGTCGGCCAGTTTGACGGGCCGGCTGAAACACACAGAGATGTTTTAGTTTTAGCAAGAGTTTTACGGCACTTCCAACACAATAGGGTCAGAACATATGGTGTTACAAAAGAGTAACAAACACAAAAAAAAGGAGGAGAGATCAGGACGAGAGATGTTTGATAGAGAAGAAGGTGCAAATCATACCAGAGCACCCATTACCCACCCACATATAGAGAGACAGAGAGATAATAATAATAATAGATAGCATTTGTATAGCGCATATCCCCGCTCAACAGCAGACTCTATGTGTTTTACACTATATTATTACCCCAGCAGACCATAGAACACTCCGAAACATTCTCAGCTTCCCGGGAAGCATACAGTGCAAGCAGCTGATTAAGCACTCAAACACTAACAAACTGACAAGATCTTTCGCTGTCTATAACTGGGTACCCATTCCCACCTGGGTGAAGTGAGGAAAATTCGTGTAAAGTGCCTTTCCCAAGGACACAACGCCGGGCCCCTGACGGGATTCGAACCCACGACCTTACGGTTACAAGTCCGAGAGCCCAACCACTAGGCCACCGACGCCAAGATAGTGGCTTGGCGAAGAGATACAGTGTGAGGTGCAGAGAGAAGACGGCATGAAGCAAACTCCGCAGAGAGAAGACGGCATGAAGCAAACACCCAGAGAGAAGACGGCATGATGAAACACGGCAGAGAGAAGACGGCATGAAGCAAACACCCAGAGAGAAGACGGCATGAAGCAAACACGGCAGAGAGAAGACGGCATGATGAAACACGGCAGCAAATATTGTTCTGTCTTCTGTTCCGACGACAGAAAAGTTTTGAGCAACATTTGGTTTAACTGACATTATAATTCACATGTTCACTGCCCAAACCAGGCAGTTCTTCGACGCAGGCTCCTACACACACCTACAGACTTACAAAGCCTGCTCTACTCTGGCGCTGATCAGATGACAAGGACATGTGGATACTTGAGGGAGGCATTGCGCTGCCAAGAGCGAAATGCTCGCAGCTAAAGGGATTTGAAAACAACAACAACAACATAATTCTCGTTTCTTTTCTTTTTTAATTCATTGATAAAACTTGGCATCCTGACAAAAAAAAGGGGCGTGGGACTGTCTAAAATGCCCACTAAAATGCCCACAGAAATTGTCAAAAATGCCCACAGAAATTGTCTAAAATGCCCACAGAAATTGTCTAAAATGGCCACTCGTCGTTGAAGAGAAAAGTGGACGTCTTACACTTACACAAAAGTGGGAGAACAGGAAGTGGCCGATTGTTCAGGTGATTGTCTTCCACAGGTGGACGTTAGATCAGGTCCAACAAATACAAATAAGTTAGTTTTAGTAAGGTTTTACGGCGCTTGCAGCTCCATAAGGTGTAACCATCTCTCTCACCTGAACTTGTTCATAGTGGACTGCTCCCAGGTTTGGCGAGGCCCCGTGTGCTTGACCGCCTTCTTGGGCCTGTTCTTCCGTCGCAGCACGAAGACAACGACGATGATGACGATGACGATGAGCAGGAGGACAGCGCCCACCGCACCCCCGACCACACCCGCATTGCTGCTGGACCCTGCGGCTACATGCGCACACAGAGAGAGAGAGAGAGAGAGAGAGGGTGGAAGATCCCAGAGATTAGTTTTGTTTTAGAGAGAGTTTTGACAGCATTTGCAACACAAGTAGCTCATAGAAGTGCTGAAGATTAGAGGTGGGTTGTTTTTTTTAAAGTAAGTGTTTTATGGCACTTGCAATACTATAAGCTCATAGAAATGCTGAAGATTAGAGGCGCTACTAGAGAGTAACAAACACAAAAAAGAAGGAGGAGAGATAAAGAAGATAGATTTTTTATAGGAAAGAAGGAGCAAACCACACCAGAGCACCCACCAACCATCCGCAAAGAAAAGAAAATAGTCAAAATTGTCCAAGATGACCCTACACTGATGAGGTTATTGTTATAGATCCAGACACAGATGAGGAGAGAAGAAGTGGTCGTCATAGACAGGTAGACAGCTCGGACATTGTCATTATAATACCCCCCCTCCCTCACCCCCCCAAAAAAGGTAACATAAAAAAACAACCCCTCCCCCCAAAAAAACAACAACCAAAAACAAACCCCAAACAAACAAAAAGCCAAAACAAAACAACAACAACAAAAGAAAACAAATAAAAAACAAACACACAAGACAAGAGGGAATGGAAAGAGGTCATTCGGGCGGGTGATTGTCTTAGACAGGCGGTCGTAAGGGCAGGTTCAACTGTAGTGATCAACGAAAGTATCAACAAAACATAAATAATAAATAATAATAATAATAAATTGCATTTATATTGCACATTTCCACAAAGAAGTGCTCAATGCGCTGTACAAAAATATAAACAGAAACAGAAACATCGTCAGAATTCCCTGCGGAGTTGTCAGTGACGTCATGACGGACAACTGAGGCCCGAACATCTGGTGAGATTCACATGGAAATAAGAACAATAAAGGTAATAATCATAATAATAATAACAATAATAATAATAATTTACCGAAAAATTACAATAATTATAATAATATTAATAATGATAACGACGATCAAAACTTCACAGCAACAACAAAAGCTGAAAAAAAATCTGAATATTATTACATGACATTCCAAATTCATTCATGATATGACAAAAAAACCCAAACAAATTCATTTTTCGGAAATAACAGCATGGCAGCGAGAGGGTGATGCATTCTGGGGAAACCTTCAATCATCACCCTTACGATACTGAACCAAAAGTCTGTATGTGGCGGGAGGGAACATATTGATGGTGTCGAGTTGTTCAAAGTCAGAATGTGGCGGGAGGGAACATATTGATGGTGTTGAGTTGTTCAAAGTCAGAATGTGGCGGGAGGGAACATATTGATGGTGTTGAGTTGTTCAAAGTCAGAGAGGCAATAAAATAACTTCTTTACAACGCATCACCTCTTTGCCAACTCACCACGACTCTTGGACCTTTTTCCAAATGGAACCTACTGACAAGAAGGAACCTCGCAAACTTTTAAGGAAGCGTTATATATAAACGTTAAAAAAACACCGTTTGTTTCATTGTTTGCTTGTTTGTTTATTTGAGTAGAGAGAAGCACACTGACACAATAACGGTAATTAAATTCAGCACTTGAAAAAAGCAATACCGACAGAGAGAAATAACAGAGAGAGAAAGTACAGGAGTAAAGAATTCAGGTCGTGAATGGGAGATTAGGGGGGAGGAGGGGTGGAGGCTAGAGGCTCAATTCCGTAAATCGTTTAAAAAAATGAAAAACTGTCTTTCTTCTAAAATTAGTTAACTCTAAAAATGTTTCACATTTGTTTCGAAAACAAACTTTTGTGCTCCTAATACATACATTTTGAACCAGAAAATGTGATAACTAGACTGTGAGAGAGTGAAGGAAAACCAGCGACAGCGCATTCAATGCAGACAGTTGGGAGTGTGTAGGAGGCCTCTACACAGCTACAGTATGTGCCAGGTCTGACACACACACACAAACAAACAAACAGACAGACAGGCTGTTGTACCCACAGACAGAACAAGCAGAAAAACGTTCCCCAGCCAGCCACGAAGCTCCGCCATCCACAAGGAAAGACAAACTATCAAACCGCGACAGATATATTTATATAATATATATTTTTGTTCAATGTATATTTATATAATATATATATTTTTGTTCAATATATATTCATATGCACAATGTTGCAGCTCGCATACAGTAATAGGAATAACAGAGTACCTTATGTATATATACATAAATATACAGAGAGAGGGAGAGAGAGAGTGAGGAGAGAGAGGGAGAGAGAGAGGGAGAGAGAGAGAGAGAGAGAGAGAAAGAGAGAGAGGGGGGGGGGAAAGAGAGAGAGAGAGAGAGAGACAGAGAGAGAGAAAGAGAGAAAGAGAGAAAGCGAGCGAGAGACGGTTGATTTTTTCTCATAAAATGTTTCAATCTAAACAGTACATCCAGGTAAATAATATTATCTATTGATATCTCTATTTTTTTTCTAGCTACACAAAACATTTCAATCTCTTTTTTAAATCCATAGGTACAATTACCTGAGAAAATTCTCAAAGGCACAAAAGAAGACGGAAAGAAAGAAGCCATATCACAAATACTCACACACTCCCCCCCCCCCCCCCCCATCCTCCGTTTTTGACCAAAAAAATCCAACTCCTAAAACTATAGAGAGCAAATTCTAGCCTGAGGGAAAGCTCTTAGAAAAACAAATCGATTAAAAAAAAACCCCACTTCTTTTTAGGCTATAATATAGACGATAATAACCTTGTACTGTTTTTGTCATTAAAAAAACCCCTAAAAGTATATCTGTATTCAAATTAAAAAAAAAAAAAATCCAATCAATGTAAAAAATCAATGACTACTGATTTTCAAAAAAAGTAGCCTAAGTGTTATTGAGCAAACAGTGAAGCCGATATCTGTAAACACAAAGGAGAAGCTAAAAAGATCAACCAATGCCTACAAACCAAACAAACAATCTTTGTTATTCAGCAAAAAGACGGCTCATATCTATATACATTGATAGATTAGAAAGATGAACGTCTACAAGTAATAAAAAGCCTGTGCTATCCAGAAAACAAATTGATAAACATTATTGCCTACAAATAAAGAAGTCAAGTGTTATTCAGCAAAAAGACAATGGATACCTGTTCCCTGATACCTGTTCCCTGATACCTGTATGTTGATACCTGTACAAGGAACCTTCTTTGAAGGAAAACTTCACATGACGTGAACAAAACCAGTCAATTTGTGCTCTATAGGCCTACATCAACATATATTGAGGATTTCACAAACCACAGGGCATGACCAGGAGAGAAAGACCACAGATCGAGATGACAGAGAGAGAGAGAGAGAAAGAGAGAGAGAAATAGAGAGAGAGAGAGAGAGAGAGAGAGAGAGAGAGAGAGAGAGAGAGAGAGAGAGAGAGAGAGAGAGAGAGAGACAGACGACACAATAAATGTCATTAAATTCAGTGCAGGAAAAAAGTAAGGCAGGCAGACAGAAAGAAACGAAAGAGGAAAAGAAAAGAAGCAGGACCTACCAGTGGGCGCCCTCCAACCACCCGCAGAGAGAGAGAGAGAGGAGGAAATTTGCTAATACATAATGAATATTACAATCAATATGCACATACCATTCCGAGAGAGAATGCAACAGACTAAGACTGATGAGTACATTTCTGTTTCCAAAAGCACAGTCATAGACACAGCTCCCAGAAGTTGGGGGAAAAGAGTCATCTAGGCAGGACATTGCCACACTAATGCTGGAGGTAAACTTTGTTATGAGACAAAGTGACATCCCTTCCACCCACCCACTCAACCTTCCTGTCCCACTACACAAAGACACACACACACACACACACACCCACAACACACACACACCCACAACACACACACACACATACAACACACACACACAAACAAACACACATGCACATAAATACACAGGGGCAGATTTGCGAGAGAAAAAAACAACTTATTTTATCTTTATCTCCCCCCCCCCTCCCCCAAACCCCTGGTAGATATTTACGCATGAACAAACACACACACATACACAAACAAACACACAGAGGAAGATTCACACAACAAGAAAAAAAAACAACAAAAAACCAACGATAAGAAAAAACCCCCAAACAAGCAAGTACTCTCTCCAGTCCGCCTAAGAACAGAGTACCCAAAAAGAGCCCAATCCCTCCAGCAGTGCACTAGACAGAAACCTTACAAGTGGCCGACAACAAGAGTTTTCCTCCCCTGAGATCTATGCCGAGACAAACGAGATGAGGATGATGAGGAGGAGGAGAGAGAGGGAGAGAGAGAAAGAAGCTAAAAAGGGTCAAAGGTCAAACGCAACAGTTACCAATCAGAGGGGCTCATTCTTAGCGGCTCTGAAAGACAAAAGGAGAGGTGAGGTCATCAGATATGGCACGATCGACACCAGATATGGCACGATCAACACCAGATATGGCACGATCGACACCAGATATGACACGATCAACACCAATATGGCACGATCAACACCAGATATGGCATGATCAACGATCAACACCAGATATGGCACGATCAACGATCAACACCAGATATGGCACGATCAACGATCAACACCAGATATGGCACGATCAACACCAGATATGGCACGATCAACACCAGATATGGCACGATCAACGATCAACACCAGATATGGCACGATCAGCGATCAACACCAGATATGGCACGATCAACAATCAACACCAGATATGGCACGATCAACACCAGATATGGCACGATTAACGATCAACACCAGATATGGCACAATCATCACCAGACAGTTCTGCCGAAAGCTGACAAAACAAAACACCTTTTCCTCTCCCCACCAGTTTCAAGAAAAACAGTTTTTTTGGGGGGCAGTGTAACCATTTAAAAATAGAGTGATTCTGAAATTGGAATTCTAATTTTTTAGTAAAAAACTAGTCACAGTTGTACTTTGATTTCTTCACACGAGAAGGGTGGTAACTGATCAGGGTTTTGTTTTAGTGAATAAAACATTTTGGCGCCAAAACGAAAAAAAGGCATTTTGTC